GTAAACACGCGTACTTGTAAGTTGTAACGTTATTATTAGGTCTATACATACGATTGTTAACAACCGGTTCGTAGAGGTCATTAAATTCTAAGAACAGGTTCGCACGAACCGGCTGAATCCCACCATTGTGAGTGGTATATATTTCAAAACTATCAGTAAAATAATGATTAATTTATTATTTTTCTTTATACAGAATTAGCTTCAAAGGCAACTACCAGAGAAATCATTCTACTGGCTACTGCAGCACTTGCTAATTTATCATTACTTCATACTTCAGCATGTACTGGGTTGAGAAAGTACAAATCTTTAAAAGTCCTTGTTTCAGCCTGTTACCATGGTGATGTGCATGACTCAGTTTTTGTTAAAGATCAGGTAAGAAACTCTGGTACAGTAATGTTGAAAATTATTATACCACTTAGAACATGTTTTCATATTTCAGAGTTGAAGAAAGGTAATTTTTATTAAAAAAAATTAAACACTACACACGTTTTTTTAAAGTATTATCAACAATGTTTAACAGAAAAAATAAATAAGAACTATTCATTAATGTTTTGATCATTGAAATGTTCATTAACAAATTTATTCTTCATTAAAACTAATATTACTTCATTAGGTAGCAACAGTAATGGCCACCATGGCGGCATCCTGTGATTGTCATCACCAGATGATCAGTAGTGGAGGGATAGAATTACTTGTTAATTTCCTTGAAATTCAACCATCTAAATTCCAAAGTCAAGCTGAGGTAGCAGCATGTGAGAGGGTAAAACAGAAGGCTGTTATAGCTCTTTCTCACCTTTGCATGGATTTAGAGATTACTGCTAAAATTGCACAAATCCAAGGTACATTATTACTTAACACATTTATTAACATATGATAAAGTCTATAATGAGTTGTATTTTCGTCTTCTTACTATTTAATGGTGGTGACATTTTTTTTTTATAAGAAAAACCATTGACAAGAGTATTATTATTACCACAAGTTAACTTAGCAACACTATACAATTTTGTTTTCATACATTAACTACTTTTGTTTCATGTTATGCTTCCTTTTTTATTTTTTTAAACTGATTAAATATTCAGATGATGATGACCAGTTGTAATTATTGATCATTTGCTACCAACACATCAATTACAGGACTGCAACTAGTTTCATCATGCAAAAATGAGGAGAGAAATCATGCCTATTCTGCTTTAGTTCATTGTGAGGTAAGTATAGTAATCTTCGGTTTTAGTTACTAACTCTAGACTTTAACATGCAATAATTTCAAACTTAGGCCTCCTTAATCACAGAAAAGTAAATGGAATATTGACAGTTTCTTTAGAAACCTCTATCAGTGTATAAACTTCAGAAATAGAAAATATTCAAAATGGTTAAAATTACATTCAAAACCTACATGTATTGGTACAATATTATGTACAGAATGATTTGTTTGTGTGTGTGTTCCTTGAATTTTGCTCAACTTATTTCAACTTTTCCAATTATGAATTAAAACTTGGTAATATAATCAAACAACAGTCTAGTAAAACAAATATTTTAAGTCTGCATTACCAACAATTCTATTACATTGTAGGTTTATGTAACAGTTATACCACCCTTGTTAATGTTTGACTTGTTTTTTAATTGAAAAATGCCATTTCACAAAAAACATTAATGTATGTTCTTTTAAAAGCCAGGAAATGGATTTAGAATTAATAGGCAATAAATTGTTCCACAGTAGTAGTATTTTATTATGAAAGTTGAGAAAAGTTAAAAATGAACTTACCTGGGATCCCACAAGTTTTTTATGAAAAGTTTTGCAGGAATCTCACATAAGATTGTGTTTCTTGAATATTTTTAACAGCATGGTAATTATACAAATTACAAGATAGTGAAATATACATTTAAATAAACAAGAAATTTTTATGCATTATCTACTACACTAAATAAAAAGACTTTAGTAGAGATGAGTTTAAAATATTTTTTTGTTATTACAGGAAGCTCTGAAACAAATTGGAACAGTTTGTGATACAAAAGTTTTGGGCAAGTTAGGAACAACACTCGAAGAAAACCTCAAACGTTCAATCCTAAGATATTCTTCTAAGCAAACATTTTTTATTTAAATCACATAATAATGTTAAATACTACTAAATTTTGTACACATTTTAATCTTAAGGGTTTAGTTTAAAGTAATTTGTACTGAAGTCATTAACAGCAGCTGAAAGTACTGACAGGTGTACTCTAGCTCTAAGTTATTAATAATATTTTGAACTTATCATAAGGATCACCAACATAAACATTTAATTGATTCATTCATTTAATGTATGATAGCTCAGTTTGAATGTTTTGACACCTACAAATTATTCTATAATTATTACCTGTTATAAGAACTTGAAATGGAGAAATTTTACACTTGCATATATCAGAACTTTTTAAGAGTTCTGAAGAGAGTTCCATATTTTACTTCTTCACTTCTGTATGATAAGTTACAATCAATGAAATTATCATGTGCCATGTCTTTAAAACCATATAAACATTAAACTACAACTTACTTTATACAACACCTGGTGTTATGATTTTAAGTGCTGAAGGTTGTAATGTTTCTCATAGTATAGTGATTATACTTTAAAGTATATTTACATATATTATAAACTACAGTTACTGGTTTAGTTACACTGATATAGAAAAAGTCTAGTCAAGGTTAAAAAAAAGGAAATAAAAGTATTAACAACTTATACAGGTATCATTGATAAGGAAATCTGTAGATAACCTAAAGTGTGTATGTATGTGTACAAAGTTTGTATACAATATTTTAACTTTTATGTAGAATTACTTAAGAAAACAAATCATACAAAATTCTGTTATTGTACACATTCAAATATTTATTTCTAGTTTTCAGAATAAGCAATTCATGCCATGATTATAATGAGTTTATTACAGACTTTGAAATTATTTATACGGTTGTGCATTACATAAATATATCGGCCTATAATCTACAATGTAGAAGTATTCCTCATATTTTTCATTTGTACAGAAGAAAAAAGATGAAATAAACACAAGTATTTGTATCAATGTTTCTTTTATGACTTTTTTTTTCCCACCAAATAAAAACATAGGGATACCTATCTCTTTACATGTATAGTGGTTGCTTTCTTTGATTTGTTAATATAAAACTTACTAAACACATGAAATCGTCAGACATACATTTTCCTTATGAGGTCTTGTTCTATAAATCATATTCAACAGCTCAAGCTAGATAACACTTAAAAATTGAAAAGGTTAGTATATGAAAGAAGAAATGAAAAATACTTAACATTTATCATATACTAAACAGTGATATTGTAGTCTTCACTATCCATACTGTTAATTTACAAATTTCTAACCTTAGGTGCTTTCTGAAAACTTTGTCACAATTTAAATAATTAGTTGTCTAAACCTAAGAACAGTTACTCAAAATGTATCAATTTCAAATTACTACCATTAGTAAACCTATTGCAAACAATTGTAATTCTGTTTTATATACAATACAACTGTTGAAATACACATATTTTTATAAGCTGTGTTTATATGAAAAGATTGAGCAAAATAACCATGTAGGCACATATATATATATATATATATCAATGTATGGGTTTAAAAACTAGGATTCATAGGTTAGAATGTTTTCTTCATCAGTATATTCGCTGGAGATTCTTTACATATTTGCTTTAACTGTAACCTAATTTTTGTTAGTAAGAAATGTATCTTTAGACCTTATTTGATAGTGTGTGTGTGTGTGCCGATCTCAATCATGGTAACCCCATTTTAATAGGATATTAGCCTGCCTTGTTAGGACAGACAGGACTAGGAACAAAAGTTCTGAACAGTGATTGATTAGTGTATTTCCCATAAACAATGATGCACTAAGAAATTACACCCACACGGATGCCCATGGGAACAAAAGAGATCATACACTAGGGGATGACCTAGACTGTCCAGCAGGAGGAGGAGAACAGAGAAATTGAGGCCTAAACATCAAGCTGGTAAATGCCACATACATAAAGAGTGCACCAGAACCTGCCAGCCTCACATTATTATAGGTTACTGCAATGTTGGGGGGGGGGAGGTCAGGGGAAGCAAATACTGCCTTTACATCTTACTTTTTCAAGAGACTAAACTCTCAAACCCTGAAGAGTTCACTCTCTCTGGCTTAATACTGCCTTTAACTTTATACTAAATGCTGACCCAGAGGCTGGAATGGCCACTGCAATTTAATACAATAATAGTATTCTCTATGAACAGTATAGCCACTAACCTTCTTCTGCTACACTTAGGTGAATTAACAAGAATTACTGTGTGCCATGATGACAGAATCCTGTACAGATCTTGCTTTTGCTAACCCAACCTTGAGTGTATCTACCTGGTATAAGAACATATTTTCTTCTGGAAGAGGTAGCAAGTCATTGTAAATGTTATTTAAGATTTTTAGGTGAAATAAAATACATTTACTATACATTAATTTTAATTTTAATATACATTAAAAATGTTTGTATCTTAGCTCTTTTCTTTATTCATTTTCTGTCTGGCTAGCAGCTGCATGAAGTGTAAAGAATGCTTATTATTAAAATACAAAGGAACTAATATTTGTTTCTATCATTATGAACAGGTATTCAATGAATCAGATCACCAATTAATTTCATACCACTACAAGCTTTTTTTCTCTTTTATGACCAGTTCAAATTTACCATTTTGTGCTATACTGTCTCACTGGGTAGCCCTTCCAGACTTGTCAAAGAGGATATCCTCATAACCCATCAAGGCCATTTGCAGGGTAAGCCTTATCATGTAAATAATGTAGCTCATCCACATAAGCAGTCAACCTTACTTTGGTACCCTTTTTCTGAGCTTTGAATTTTGCATGATGCTCCATTTTCCACCAGGTCGAACATTTGCTACAACTCAGTAATGACTACCTCACAGTGGCAGAGTTGCTCCTCATTCAGTTGCTTGATGTAATTAAAGGCTTGACCATCTAAAAAAAAAAAATCCTTCTTCGTTGTACCTTTGAATGTCGGGAGAGATCCGTTTCACCTCACTCTGGGGAAACGGTTATCATAGCCAGATGTTCTCTCACACAACTTCCCATCCATCACCTGACCATGATGTTTTGGACATCGTGCGTACCATATTGTAAGAACTCTCAGTCTCAGGGACACCAACATTTTGAATAGCGGTAGGCCCCGGCTTCGAGTTGGCTGAACGACGAGATGCACTCAGCAACTCGTCTACTGGTTTTTCTCGATTTATTCTCAAACATTTTCTTTGCTCGTTATTGCAAACTGGGTATTTATAATTTAACGACAGCGTTTTTAGAACACTTAAAAAATAGTATCTTAAAGTGTGTATACAATTAAATTAGCGATGTTTACAAATTTACAGCACACAGGTAAATTTTGAGTAGGCCAAAACACAATTGTTTTTGCCCAGTATCACAAGGTTTTCTTGCTTTGGTTTTTAATTTTATGCCCAGTGGTAGCGTTAACATGATTGAACGTCACCATAGAAGATTAATTTTACGTACTTATTACTATTAGTATAACTTAAGTTGAGTGAATTACTATCGTTTTAAATTATCTGCAAAGTAAAATTTCATTTTAATTTATTTTCCTCGTAATGAGCACTATGTAACCAATCTTAGCTTCTAGAACAGTAATACTAATACAATGACAAACACTGCTGACAAAATATAACTATACTTACTTGTTTTGCAATGTTAACACCAGCCTTCTCAGTTTCACCTTTTTCATAGTAGTTGCCTATATTATGCGATCTATTGGTATTAACACAAAATTCGATATTTATAGATTACGAATATTTGTCTAAAAACTTCCGTGCATCCTTCATTTGTATAGTTTAAAATATTAAAACTGTAGATTATTAATTTTTGTTACCCATGTTCTCATCTAATTATTTCTGTATATGCGTGTGTGTATGAATGAATAAGTGTGTAACTATGAATACGTCTATATGATAATTCTACAAACATGCATAAAGGTCATTTACGAGATACTAGTTATTCAGGGGGCGTCGATGTATAGGGAAAAATCTTCTGTCTTGATTTTGTTATTTCTGTTACCGAAATAGTTGTAAATCCATCTCAGGACGAAATTAATCTTTGAATTATTATTATCATTATTACTTTATAGATCAAAATTGCGTTCCCATCGAACCACAGAATGGACATGGAAGATAAAAACCATGATTGTCCATTGTATAGCTTTGCGCTAAAAAAACAAAACAATTTTGAGAAGTTAATTTTTTTTTTAAATAGTATTAATCACGATAAAGTGCTCATTTATATTTATAATAAATGGAAAATTACCAAAGAAGTTTTCATCTTGAATTTTGTTAACTTTAAGAACAATACTTGTAATTCTAAGCTCGAGAACTTCTGGCACCAGCAATAACTTTTATAGTTATGAAAGTTTTATATGATCAGATGATCCAGATCTAGCTTATAATTATTATATATTATCTTTATTGTTACCTTTTTATATCCACAAGAAAAAATAAAGTTCTAATTAAATTTCACTCTGGATAATTGAAACGGGAAATATAGATGCTTTCGCATTTTGAGTATAAACTTTAGCAATTTAAGCTTCATCAAAACAATACCAAGGGTAGGTTCATTTTTTTTTCAGTGTATTGTTACGCCTCCTTTCGTTAGTTAATTTTCCGTAAAAATTCTTTCCGAAGAAACTTTAGCGATACAAGTCCTTTCTTAAATAAAACTGGTTTATTCTTTCTGAATACAACTTTGCAATACACTTAATTTCCACAGTCGCGCTGTAACAAACGCTATAATTCACAACGAACGTCTCACGTGCTCGACTGAACTGTCGGTATACATCTCTATCTGCAGTTCAATTACACATTACATTGTCGCCGTCAGTTCTTACCGGTCTTATATATACAAGAATACCGCATATCTAGTAACCTCCCGAGACTTCAGGAAGGGACGTGAACGTTCGAGAATATGACGTGTTACTAGCATCACGTGACCCCCGCTGTCGTAACAGTATATTAACTTTACTAAATTATATATATTTTAAGTTAAGACCAATTTCAGTTTACAAAAAAATCTGGCATTCTGTTACAGTTT